GCCAATGGATGACCATTGATCATGATAGCCAGGCTTAGCTAAGTGCATCCCCGTTTGGGAGCTTGTTTCTTATCAAAAGAAAACATCTTAAATCAGCCTGCATGAATAGCTTCTCTGTGGCTGCACCACAGAGATGAAGAGAGAGATGAGGCCTCATTTGGGAAAGCACAGCAACACTTGATTCTGTCTTATTAACAAGCATTGCCGCTACACTGTATAGTCACAGCCGTCTCAATATACTGTACCTACCGTACATTTCTGGTCAGTACAGTTAAAACTAGGCCCTGGAAAGTAAGCTAATAGAGAAAATTGATGTCAGATCAATCATCACCTGGCATATCAATGTCTGCAGACTAGGAAGCTTACTGAAAAGTCGGTAATAAATTATTCAGGACTAAGAGAACGAAAAGGAAACATCCAGTACACAGAAACGGTATACACAGAAAACACAGAAACTGGGCTTGCTCCCACACAAAACACAACATGGGGTCAATATTGGGATATTAAGCCACGAAACCTCTGCGCATCAAACATACCTGCAACACCCACGTTCAAAACATTGTACAAAAACAGAACTTAAGATGGGCTAGATTCAAAACTAGAGTAATTTATTCTTACGGTTGCAAAAAAACACCTTGGCCCTACAAACGCATGTACAGAAGCCACTATCGAATTTCGGCCTCTTCAAAAACTTTTAACACCGCCATTTTTCTCCAACGATGTATCAGAACAATAAGCCTGTCAATGCATGTATTTCAAAAGTTTGAATATCAGCATTTTATTCATTGGATGACACAAAAGGTTTCACATCAATATTTTTTTTGCAAAATGGAGATGACCCAAAGGAATATTTGATTGAGAGATATTAATGGTACCTCTACTTAGTGATACATGGATAAATTACAGTAATCTGTTGTTGTGTCCTTATTATACCCAAGTTCCCCAGTGGGACCCCCCTCCCCAGGCTGGGCAACCCAGGCTTGAATCTTCCCAGAAAACTATAGGTGCTCTCGCAAATGAGGACCTATAGTTGTCTGGGGAGACAAGGGAATGCCAAGGGAAGAAATAAACATATTCGCCACGGGTTAAATGTTTAAGAAGAAGCAAATCGTGGGATTTAAGAGTTACGGCACGATCTCCACATTCCAGTACTCGGTGATCAATAAACTCATAGCTGGGTAAGAAGAGAGAAATGAGATTGACATCTTTACCTCCGAGAATTTGGTGGTGCAAACGAGGAGTGAGAGAATGATGATGGACTGTAGCTGCAGCCTGAGATCCTGAAGCAGTAGGATAAAATCTGTCAGGGGGACGGGTAGAGGGAGACTGGAGCCTTATGGAGCACATTTTCATACTAAAGAGATTCAGTTCCTCCAGCCGGTCAGTGTGGGACACTCCCTTCAGACTAAAGAGA